TGTTGTGAATATTGCTGTCCAGAAAGACAGATAACATACAGTACGTGGTAGTGTTCTTTTACTTTCCAGTAAGGGTCAGTGAGGCTCCACTCGTTAGGTATGGATTTACCAACAGAGCTGTTTCTCAAAACAATTCGATTTGTGAATCAGGGCATGCAAATTACAAATCGAATCGTGAATCATAATCCTGTAATGTTTACGGGGAAAAACCTAAAGCCATTCGCAGTTTAAGATCGATATCAAATACACTCTAGTACTGTATAAGAGCGTTATAGTTTACCTTCTGATTTTACCATACAATTATATATTTTTACCTCACCCCCTTCATCCCAGGACTTTTGTTTTAGGATCCTGTCCAGTCTATTTTCTCATCTATTTTCCCACTAAAGCAAAGCAGAGGTCAATATCATTTGCTTTTATATTCCTCATTTCTGTCACTGGATAAGTGAAATGTGAAACTGCAATCTCAGCAGTGTTCGGCAGGTACGATTCCTGCAAGTTCGACTATTGTTGCTAAGTTCCAAACCTACAATCTCATGCTCTTTATTTACACAAATCACTCAGGTGCATTCGGAAATGCTAGTAAGCCCTGAGACGAGAGACGAGACAGGTCTGTTGTTGTTGTTGGTGCTGCCTGATTACTAGAATTATAAATTAATGCCCTTTAAAATATTGACGATTGATAACTTTTTCTTTCCCCCAAAATGACTTTCCCCCTCTTTTAATAAACACTAAACATGGCCTCCAGAGTCTGGGTACAAAGTTGTCCCGGCACAGCCCTGTTTATTTTTGCAAAGAATGTTAATACCGGTTACATTCCTCTATTCCCAAATTGCTGTGTTAAATTACCGTTGCGGGGAACGGCTGTTATTCCTAAAAGGATCTGACTGGGTAGAAGCGACAAAGGAAGCCGTAGTATCCAGCCGATTGCAAACACCTGTCATCCTGCGGGCTGTTAACACCTCTCTGTTTACAGCAGGGAATGGAGCTCACCTAGATCTCAGCTGCCCGGCTGCAAGAGACCTGGCAAAGCCTGGCTGGGCACAACCTGAGCCAACACTTAACAGTCAGAGCTGCAATTCTGGATGATCAGTTTAAGTGGTTTTCCCACGGTGGACTAGCAGCTAATAATTTGTGATATGCACCAAAGTAATTATCACAATACCAAGGCAAAGTTGAAACAGAGTGGGGAAGAAAACCTGATTGTAACCAAATACTTGATTGTTTTTCATTAAACTTAGTTGTGTTTATTGAAGTGTGGAATGAACAAATGAGGTTAAAAGATGGGGAACACAAAGCACTGCCAGAAAAGTTTCACTCCAACAGGCTTTATTATACCGTGCGTGAATCATCTGTAGGACAGACACCAGCAGAAATACATCTGCTCAATCTGACAGAAAAAAAAAGAAAAACAGATTAATCATGTTTTAAACATGACTAAGCAGTGTCTGCGATGACTGCTGACACTGTATTTTTCTCCTACTCGAGTAGAAATGATTTTTTTTTCTGAACACCGTGAAGCATATTGTCATGATCGGGATTGTAAGTGCTAAAGGAAATCAATTAAAGACTCTAGCTTTATGAAAAGAAAATCCTCAGCGGTCCATTTACATAACAGATCCGCTGCCCTGTCAGAAGCAGGGACTTCAAAGAAAACAAGTCCTGCTGACCCCCTTGGAGCAAACGGAGCAAGAGCAACAGGGAAACATCTGTTAGGCTGCGTCTGTGCCTTTAAATGTCAATGGAGGCGCGTCGTGAATGATAAAAGTTCAGTAAAACAGAACTTTAAGTTGAGATAAAGGCGAAAAAGCAGAGAGCAGAGCAGGGAGCGACACCGCAGAGAGATATCCACACCTTGACAGCAGGACCGTTAACTTAGGTGTGTCCGCACCTCGAACATGTTCGGTTACAACACGCGCGTCACAGAGGAGATAAGACGAGTGACATAGTTGGAAAAAGAAAAACAAAAAGTGAAAAACGAATTCAGAAGTTCAAAATGATACTTAAAAAAACTTCTGTGTTTCTAGAAGACAGAAAAACTCCCCAAGGCATTCGGTTGCATTTTCCACGCGACCTCAACCCCAGGATCGTTTTGACGCTGTGTTTACACGTTTTTATTCCAATGTCTTAGAAACACAAAGTGAAATCCACAGCGCAGACACATGGACGCAGTTGTTTGTTTCTCTGTATAACACATGACAATAATCGCCCGTCTCTCACATGCTCCGACAACAACTTCTTGAAAGATCGTTTTAAATCACCATTAAAATGACTATAGCTTAAAGAAAAAAAGAAAACAGAATACGCGTTAATATCCTTTTGTGAGGACAACCACAGAGGACACTTCTTAACCCGGTCAACATTTTTTCACGCCACCTCCGTAAGGTGCGTGAAATCCCGCTAGTAGAAAATTTCAAAATGGAGCAAGTTGAATTAATGATAGTGTCATAAGTGAAAGAAGATGATAAAATATATTTTTATATAAAAAATACGTGGTCGTGATAAGGCTTCTCTAGCGTCCATAGATTCCCAGCGCGCGGCTGCTGCACGCGGAGGATCCGCTGTCCTTATATGGGCTGCGCTCGCGCTGCCTGCTCACACAACCAGCGCGTGAGGTGTCCCTGTTCCCCGGAACCCCCTTTTTTTAACCACATCCATGTCCAATTGTACCAAACTATGTCCTCTCTCCGTCCCGTTCAATTCAGCTCTACCACCAGAAAGTGCCGAACCGACAGCAAGTGACCGGAATAAGCCACACGCAGCCGGGACATTAAACAAAATAAGTTCAACAAAGGAGGAAGAAAGCAGAAGTGCTGTGAGCGTGTTTCAACACAACACCACAACCGTGTCCTCCGCTGTCCCTCAACAACTGTTTTGTCGCAATGTTATTATAAAAAAAAAAACAACAGCAACGACAACAACAACAACAAATAAACAAGTCACTGGAGTGGGGATAGCGTTTGTACGCTGTAAGTGCAGCAACAGCGTCTCTTCCGAAAGAGAATCAGAAAAAAAAGAACAAACCAAAAGTGTTCTTAAAATAATCCGTCTATAATGTTCTGACAGTCGAACAGTTACATTTCACATTTTGGTCAAATTTCTATCCGTTAACAGCCGTGTGCTGAGGTCCGCAAAATAACAGTTGTGTAGTCGCCCCTCGCACTAACAGGTCTGAGTTGAGAGAAGAGGCTGAAAACTCAACACAACGTGACTAAATCAATGAATGTAGACTCTGAAAATGTATGAAAAGTGTTTTTGGACGCAAATTTAAAAAAAAGAGGAGAGAAGTGAAGACGAACGCCGCTCCGTGCGTTTGGAGGCTGAGGTGCGTATAACGGTCTCCAGTGCAGCGGACCGCTAGGCGGAGGGTGAGACGCGACCCAGGTATAACGGTGCACCACACAGCGCTCACTTGCTACTTCAACCACTTTCCGTACCTAAAGGAGCGCTCTGACAAACTTTTCCCTAAAATCACCGGGGGACAGAGGGTGCCCTCGTCCCCGGCAGAGAAGCCCCACGTCGGGAATAGGTTTTTTACTCACCGTTGTTCCTCCTCGGGTTCGCCTGCTTTCTGCGCTTACACCTGGGGCCATCCGCCATGATCCTTTCGTTGTGTCTAAATGCTTGTCGGAGAGTCACCTCCTCTCTCACCCCCTACCTCCCTCCCTCCTCCCTCCCTCACACCTCCCCTTCACCTCCCTTTCTCCGCACCTGGTTTACGACACTCAGCTTTACGACATCACCTTCCCCGCACCGCGCACTCCACATACTGGAAGTGAGGGGAGAAAGGATGAGTGCATGTGGAGTAAACACTGTGTGTTTGCTGTACCTGTAGCGGTTTCTTTACTCTGCTTCATAGGAACAAGTCCTAGGTGCAGCAGGTGACCTCATGTCACACTGCGACCACTGACTCACAGTTTAGTCATGACAAATAAATAGAATTTACTAGTTTAAGTGCTGCAAATTGTATTCATTAAAGAATTCAACATAAACACTAGAAATAAATTAAATATTTTTTAAAATAATAATATCACAAACTGGTACCTCATAATACATTCACAGGAAATACAGCTGATAAATATATGTATGTATTTTTTTTGTTTTGTAATATTTACTGAACATACAGCCCAACAGTAGGTGTTGTTTACTTGTGTTAGCTCATTAGTACAACACTACTGTGTATCATTTAATTGTGTAACCTTCACAATTTTTTTTCCCCATAACACAGGAGTTAAACTTTAAACATCAGGGCAGGTAAATGTTACCTGTGGAACTGTGTGCTTCCGACAGTGACTTAACAAATCATTAAAAACACAAAATATCTTTGATTACAAGACATACTGTGACTTCAAAATGTAACAGCTCATTTTGTTTACTGACAAAATGAGGGGTTTATTTACGAAATTCAAAATAAACTATT